TGTGTGTGTGTGTGTGTGTGTGTGTGTGTGTGTGTGTGTGTGTGTGTGTGTAGGGTATGTATATAGGACAAAGAAAACGGAAGAACAAAAGATTAGAAGGGAAAAAAAACCCAAGCTGAGGATGGGGAGTCCAGCACAGAGCGAGTGTTTAGCACATGTGAGGCCCTGAGCTCTACCCACAAGAGAAAATCAGTGAAAATGCAGCATTCAGCTGAAAGCCCCAGGTTCCTTTCCAGCATCCCTGCTTCCTTGGGCTCTGCAGCCTTTGGTGAACTTCTCAGAACTGGGCTGTGTGGGGAGGCTGTCTCTACAAGCGACATGTCCTTACTTAGTTCTGACAGCAGGCTTCTTATTTGTGACAGTCTTAGATTTATTGTGGAGAATTCAAGTAAACAGCATGAGGTCACCTATTCCTACTAGATACACTTATAACAGAAAATCGGCTACAATCCAGTTTCATGAGTTAATGGCTAGGATTGTTGTTTATGTTCTATTTGACTTATCTTCTGTCCCTCTTTCCTTCTCAGATCTCTGAGTTGTTCCTGATCTTAAGGAAAATGGTGGATATTTTCCTGTTGAGTCTGGTGATACGGCACTGAGCTTTCTTACATGTTGTTTCATGCATGTTTCTATGTTCATCTGGTCATTTTTCTTTGTGCTGTCAATATGATAGATTACAATGATTGCTTGTCGAGTGTTAAATGTTAGCTACATAACTGTACACATCTGAATTCTTGGAAGAAAGTCCCCTGGCTGTACAATGGTGTCTGTTCTACCCACCTAGGCTCAGTCTGAGTATTGGATTAGAATTTCAGTTTCTATAGCCACGAAGGATACTCGTCGTATAATTTCTTTTTATGTAACACCTTGGCATCATGTTTTTCCTGGCTTCATGAGATGAAGCATTTTCTTCATATCTGTTCTATACAAGAAGTTCATATGAGATTGGTTCTAAAACTTTTTAGGCTGGGAGTAAGTCATTAGTGAAGCCATGCAGGCCTAGAGTATTCACTAGAGAAAGATTTCCTATTAGGCTTTATTCCATTTTTACTTTAGTTTCATTAAATTGTAGTTTTCCAAGACACACTTTCATCAGTATTGCGAAATCTGCTGGCATAGAATTGACTGTGAGATCTCATATTGCCTGCTAATGTCTGAAGGATCTGTGTTAATGTCTCAATTTCTATTCAGATATTGGTAATTTATTTTGTTTTCTCTTTAAAAACAATTTCTTCAGCTGGGCATGGTAGTGCACACCTTTAATCCCAGCACTTGGGAGGCAGAGGCAAACAGATCTCTGTGAATTCCAGGCCAACCTGGTATACAAAGCAAGTCCAGGACAGCCAAGGCTACACAGAAAAAACTTGTCTCAAAGGACAAAAACAAAGAAAAAACCCAGAAAACCAAACAAACAACCAACCAAACAAACAGAAAACCCCAACCCAACCTTAACCAAAAAACCAGCTTCTCCATAAGTTTTACCATGTATCTTTCAATTTGATTCTTAAAACAAAACAAAACAAAACAAAACCACTTTTTAATGTTTTCTGTTTATCTTTTCTCCTCTTTTATTAATTTCTGTAATTCATCTCCTTGATTCTTTTAGACTTACCACACTTTTCTAAGCCCAGGTTTTTAAGCTGTTAGCTTGGACAACTGACTTTGAGTCTTTATTCTTCCCAGTATTTGAGTTAAAGCTACAAATGTCTGTCCGGGCACTAAGAATCTTTTCATAAAAGATATGTTTGTTTAAAAAAAATCATTCCTTTTGACTTTTGTTTGGTACTGGTGAAAAGCAGTCTCTCAAATCAGGGAGGAGTAGAGTGGGAAGCTTTGTATAGACATGCAGTACTTTGCTTTCTTAGTTAAGGTGGCGGTTACACTGATGTATATATATGTCAAAAATGTAGTGCTCTAGTTGGGTCCCAGGCTGAGAATAACAGCAGGAGATAAGCTTTAGGATCTTGGATACTTATCTGTGATGTAACAATATCATACCCACCACTCAAAGTACCAGGAGTTAAACCTACTTAGTCAGAAGCAGTGTGGGGTGCACTACCTATATATGTGTGGTGTGGGTACATATGGATATGTGTGTATGGAGGAGAGAGGGAGGGAGAGGGGAGAGGGGAACCATACTTGGGGCACCTTGACTCAGTTCTCATGGATTTAGCTCCTACCTTGCTGCCATCAAACAGGCAGAGGCGGATGTGTCTGCTGAGGACCTGTATGCTTGTTCCTGGGAGAGGAATCATTTTACAGCTCCATAGAGTCAGAATCAATGAAACACGACTAGGTCTTGACATGATCTGAAAGGAAAATTAAACACAAAATTTATTTTTATTTATTATTTATTATTTAAAACAATCCATTTCTTTTTTTTTTTTTTCCTCAAGACAGGGTTTCTCTGTGTAGCCCTGGCTGTTCTGGAACTCACTCTGTAGACCAGACTGGCCTCAAACTCAGAAATCCGCCTGCCTCTGCCTCCCAAGTGCTGGGATTAAAGGAACAATCCATTTCTAAAACATTTTTTCTTACACAAATATAACTTAGGCAAACAAATGTACATCTGGGTGTAGCAATTCACTCTGGAAATCTCAGCACTTAGGAAATGAAGGCAGAAGGACTAGAAGTTCAGGGTCAGCCTGGGCTACATGAGACCCTGTTTTAAACAAACCAACAAACAAAAACAAAAAACAAAATAAAAACAAAACAAAACAAAACAAAACAAAACAAGCCAACAGGGTACTGGAGAGCTGGCTCAGCAGTTAAGAGCACTGACTGCTCTTCCAGAGGTGCAGAGTCAATTTCCAGCAACCACATAGTGGTTCACAACCATCTGTAATGGGATCTGATGCCCTCTTCTGGTGTGTCTAAAGACATCTACAATGTATCCATATACATAAAATAAATACACAATTCTTTAGGGAAAAAAATAGCAAGCAAGCAAAAAATAAAAAGAAGACATATACATATAGACTAGAAAACAAAGCTCAAGAATTTTACACAAACATATATGCACAACATAGTTTTGGTGAAGTTCACTTAAAGTCAAAATCAGTCATTTGAGGTAAATTTTATTTCTCTCTTTTTTTTTTTGAGGTAAATTTTCATAGAGCAACATTTGAAAGTTGCAATTTTTTCCTTAATCACTTATAAACTGTAATGAATAGGACATACAGGACTCATAGGTTAAAATACATCTTTGAATCATTTTGTAAGATGTTTGTGGGCATGAAGAGATGCCATAATGTAGCACCAGGACAAGGCATTAGTGTCTAGGTTCCTGCCCTGAGTTCCCTAAGTGACCCAGTGAGTCTTGAAGTGGTAAGAAGAAATAAGTCTCCTCCTCCCCAAGCTGCTTTTGTTCACGGTGTTTTATCACAGCACTAAAAACCTCAAGTGTGACCACCTCTCTCTGAAGCTATAAAACTAAACAACTGCTGGGGTGGGGGAGGCCTGTTGGGAGTAGTTGCCTATGAATTCCAGGCTGTGTGTGTGTGTGTGTGTGTGTGTGCTGAGCTTTTGTTAGGCCACCACCCATGACGGGTGGCTTTTCAGTGACATAGCTATACAAGTCACCCATGCTCTTGTAAGTGATCCCACAGATGGACTGGTTCACAGTGGACTTCATGGAATCATTTCATCATTTCCTTGGTCTGTCATGGCCTATCTGGGTCTATCTGGGGTGATTCCAAATATCTCCCCAAAAAAGTCACATAACAGGGACACTTCAACAACCTGTAGCATTAGCACTTATTGAGTTCTTAAATGTTCTTTATTCAATTCCCAAGATAACTCTTTGTTGAAACAATTATTGCTATTATTAATAATCCTATTTTACATATGAAAAACTGAGGTAAAGATAGAAGACTGGAGAGATGGTTCAGTGGTTAAGGCACTGGTTGATCTTCTAGACATCTGGGGTTAGATTCTTAGCACCCACATAGTGGCTCACAACTCTCTGTAACTCCAGTTCCAGAGGAATCAACTCCCTCTTCTGGCTTCTGCAAGTACCAGGCACACGTGATACACAGACATACATGCAGTCAAAACACACACACACGCACACGCACACACACACACAATTTTTCTTCATGAAAAAAATGACATGGGGCTGGAGAGATGGTTCAGCAATTAAAAACACTGAGTGCTCTTCCAGAGGTCCTGAGTTCAATTCCCAGCAACCACATGGTAGCTCACAACCATCTGTAATGAGATCTGATGCCTTCCTCTGGTGTGTCTGAAGACAGTTACAGTGTACTCATATACAAAATAAAACAAATGAACATTTTTTAAAAAAATGGCAGGATAGTTGGAGTTACATAGTAAGACCTTGTCTCAAAAAAAAAAAAAAGAATGTTTAATATATAAAGTTAGGATTATTTCTTTTGTAGTGAAAAAAACAACAGAAAAAAGGAAGATAAAGTTGAGGCACAAAGTTTCAAATTATAAAATATCTTCCAGAAATACAGAGTGTGTTCTCTGCAATGCATTTGTCAATTTATGTGCTATTTACACACTTGCCACAGGAGACACTGGACACTTCCATATGACCAGCAGTAAGCACACGTACCGTGCCTGCCTTAGCATCCCACATTAGATCTCTGAAGGACAGCTGCGACGTCGTGAGCTCTGGCTGCAAGAAGTAGCTTGCTCGAAACTGGTTCCCTGCTGAAACAACGTTCTTTTTATTTTCTTACAAAAAGAGACCTGAAATTCAAAACCCTAAATCCATATTGCTACATGACAAGCTCAGCAAAAAGCTTCTGAAAAGCCATGCACTCACTAACAACTCAGTTCCTGAGACAGATGGACCTACATATGCTTATATATTAAAACAAAACACAAAACTTAAAGATATAAAGATCACCGTAGTTGGTTATATTAGTACACACCTTTAATCCCAGAACTCAGGAGGCAGACAGGTCTCTGAGTTTGAAGCTAGCCTGGTCTACAGAATGAGTTCCAAGACAATTCCTGCACACCACCACCCCCACCCCTTATAAAAAAGTAAAAATCACTTCAAGGCAGCTTTAAGAGAATTCTAAAGATTCAGACAAAAAAAGGTGCTTTGTGATAATGATGATGTATTCAAATACTTGTGTAAAATGTAAGAAATCTGTAATCACCTTTTAAGATTTGAGGGGAAAATTACATATCTAGTTTTCACTTTTTTTAATTGTTTTTTTTTTTTTTTAAAGACAAAGTCTCCTCTAAATATCAGGGCCCTCTAACTCACTCTTTAGCCAAGGATGACTTGAATTTCTGGCCCTTTTGTTTCTGTCTCCCATACGCTGGGATCACAGGCCTACAACCACGGAGTGTTTATTATAGAGAGCACTACTTATTCAAGAAACAGTTCTGGAGCCCTTGCTCTGTGCCAAGTGTTATGCCCTTAAAGCCACAGGATTCAGTCTCCGAGTAACACTGATAGGGCAGGTACCAGAAGAAGGAAGGCTGGAAGAGGTTTGCTATAGATGCAGGAAAGGGCAAGTAAATAAGAAGTCATGTTTGTGCAACTAGGAAAAGAAGCTGGGAGCTAGAGCACGGCCTGGCCTCCCTTACTGCAACAGGAAGGCAAGAAGGATGAGGAAAAGATGAGCTCTCAGGAAGGTGAGGTTCAGGGCTGAGGAGACGGATCAGCTAAGCACTTGCCATGTGAGCTTGAAGACTTCAGCTCTATCCCTCAGAACCCAGGCAAACAGCCAAGAGCAGTGCAGTGACACGCAACTGTGGTCCTGGTGCTGGGGCACAGAAGCAGGGGATTCCTGGGGTATGTGGCTAGCAAGCCTAGCCATATTGAGTAGGGGACCTTGCCTCAAAAAATATGGTAGGGGACAGTTGAGGCAGACTCATGGTGTCAACCTCTGGCCTCAGCATATGTACACACTGAATCTCCTTCCTTCCTTTCTTCTCTCCCTCCCTCCTTCCCTCTCTCCCTTCCTCCTTCCCTCCCTCCCTTCCTTCCTCCTTCCCTCCTTCCCTTCCTCCCTCCCTTCCTTTCTCCCTCCCTCCTTCCCTCCCTCCCTCCCTCCCTTCCTTTCTCCCTCCCTCCTTCCCTCTCTCCCTTCCTCCCTCCCTCCCTCCCTTCCCTCCCTCCCTTCCTCCCTCCCTCCTTTCCCTCCCTCCCTTCCATCCTCCTTCCCACCCTTCCTCCCTCCTTCCCTCCCTTCCTCCCTCCTTCTCTCCCTGCTTCTCTCTCTCTCATATACACACACATGCACACACAACAGGGGGTAGATTTAGTATCTTCAACTTGTTTGGACACTTACAGAAGAATTAGCATTCACTATAAGAGTACAGAGACTGAGAGCCTGTGTCCTTACCTTCATCCAGCAGCTGGGAGAGCGTAGAAGGCCGGAACCCTGCAGGAATGGCTCCCATTGTGGCTAACACATCAACAGTGTTTATCTGCTGAAGAGAGGAAAATGAAATAGATTTGTTGCCCCCATTTCTCTTCTTGCCTTTGTAATACTTCAACACTATTGCAACTGCAACCCCCAAAACAAACCACACAGACCGTAAAGTAAGAAATACTGCACTGGGGGCTAGAGAGAGGGCTCAGCAGTTAAGAGCACTGACTGCTCTTCCAGTGGTCCTGAGTTTGATTCCCAGCAACCACATGGTGGCTCACAACCATCTGTAATGGGGTCTGAGGCCCTCTTCTGGTGTGTCTGAAGAGAGTGACAGTGTACTCATACACATAAAAAAATATTTATAAAAAATAGGAAAAAAAATACTGTGGTGCAAGCCCGAATTCCTAGAGGGTGGCACTTATCATGAACCCTGGTCTCTCATAGTGACTAGAGAATGGAGCTCTGGGTTCTAAATTTGCTGCTAAAGTGTCCCCACTCCTGTCAAGGTCCACAGCACATGCCATTGAACATATGGTGCCCGCTGTACCTGACAGGCACTTTAGAAGCACTGCCCACTCACTCACAGCACATCTGGGTAACTGAGGAGGGGACTCAAGAGTGAGGAAAGCTACCCGCTACACTGCTAGTGGAGATGATTTATGGGGTGGGGAGAAATTTCAGTGTTACATGATTTCTGAATTGTGGGTAATTTCTTACTCTGATGTTTTTTAAAATGTTTTTTAAATAGCTCAACTTTAATATTCCAAAATGATAGAAAATTCATGTGGGAACACAGGATAATCCCAAGCTCTCAAATCATATCACAGATGAGATTCTCGACTTCTTGTACAAAAGGATATAATGAGAATGCTATTTGCATCATGGCCCAGAAAAGCATAAGATGTGCCTTATGCTCTGGACACCTTGTACCTGCTGTGATCTCTGCTGCCCTCCAGGCTCTATTCTGCCCTGAACTCAGTCTGAACTACTAAGTAACAAACCAAATGTATCTTACTTGTCAAACATGTCAATATTATTAGACATAAAACTGGAGACCAGGGGAACCAACCTCTGAGATAGCTTTTCGCACAGCAGTCCAGTGGGAATCAGTTCTAGGACGACAAAGGAGGAAGGTCAGTGCGGGGACCAGCTGCACCCATTTCAACTGGGAGTCAAAACGTGTGTGATCACCAGTCAGCTCTGAAAACTAAACAGTCTTCTCAGGGGAGGCCAAGCTAGGACTAAATGCCCTAAAAGAATTACAAAATTAAAGTAGAAAAACTTGTCTCCATTTCAAGAAAGTGTTGAATTATCTATAACAGTAAAAATGAAGCCAAAGTTTCTGAGGCTGCTGCTGATTTAGTTGGTAAAATGTTTGCCACTCAAGTGTAAGGACTTGAGTTCAAAACCCTAGAGCCGACATAAAAAGCTAGGCATGGTGATGTGTATTTTTAATCTCAGAGCTGGTGAGGTGGAGACAGCAAGGGTTTTAGGACTCACTGCCCACCCAGCCTAGCCTGATTAGCCAGCCCCAAGCCCAAGAGAGACCCAACATCAAAAAGCAAGGTGCACAGCTCCTGTGGTACACTATCCAAAGTTTCCCTCACATGCACACACCTGCACATATATCCACTAACACATGCTTGAACATGTACACACAGGTTTAAGCCACTGATGCCCTCTCACACCTCGTACCTCTGCTTCATCTGGGCTCCACCTGCAGTTTCATCCACCACCTCTGCGTCCTCCTCACCATCCTCCTCACCACCCTCCTCGCTGTCTTCGCTTGATTCCAGCTTGTCTTCTTTATTATAGGGCTGAGAAATTGTGGGTATACAAAGTGATGTTTAGCCAATACAAAATCAAACAACAAAAATATCAGTATTCAGATATCAATATCAATATCAGATGAGGATATTTGTATGTAAAGCTTGTAACGTGCGTTTAGTAATTTCACTATTTGAAAAAAATGACAGTCAGGCATGGCAATTCCACAACTTGGGAACCTGAGTCAGGAGTATCATGAGTTTTAGCCTGGCCTGGGCTCCACAGCAAGATCCTGTCCAAGAAAAGAAAAAGAAAAAAAAACAGAAGAAAGAAGAAGCAGCAGAAGGAGGAGGAAGGGGAAGAAGAAGGAGGAGGAAGAAGAGGAGGAGGAGGAAGAGTAAGAAAAAGGCAAGTTTAACTTACATACCAGTCTATGTCAGATAGAATTTAAATTAAAAATTAAGAGAAGAATCAGTAAAAGTGCTGGAAAAAAATTAGTCTTGTAATGAGGATGGCCTTTTTATAAACAATACCAAATATAAAACCAAAAGTCATAACTGGAAACACAACACTGATAAATTTAGCTAACAAAAATACATACACAGCTGAAAGCCAACAAAAATATCAAATACAAATGCCTGAAGGGTAATATCTCTATTAATATTATAGCAGTTGTTATATTCAATAAGGAATGATATAAATAGGAAATGAGGAGTGTTAAGGCCTAAGTAGAATGTTAAGGCCTAACTGTTACTTGGCTAACCTGCCATTTTGTTCTGTTACTAATATTACAAGGACATTTTCTCATATGTTGTTTCTGTTGTTACTAGGAAACTTTCTCATGCCCAAGTTGATTACATATCCTGTTACTAGGATGATCTGTGCTCTTGGAAACCAATCACAATAGAAGACGGTTAGAACTGCTCTGTATAGTTAGCCACAATAAGCTTGGACCCAAACCAACCACCCAGCAGTACTTCCTGCAGCTGTGTATGAGCTTTTAGGGTATTGCCTGTATAAGCTGCCCCTGGGATGGACCCCAACATAAGAGAGACAGCTGCACCCATTTAGAATAAGACTTCCATTTTGAGTAGGGGTCAAATAAAGTTTAAGTTCCCAAGACCTTCCTGGTAACTGACACCCTACTTGACAGAACAGACACGCATGTGGGTAACTGACATAGTGGCTGGCAAGTTAAGGCATGAATTTTATACAAAACAAATCCCCTGCCACAGTTGGCTACCCCAACCAACAAGAGCAGGATAAATATACAACAAAGACATGTTCCTAAAGAGATGCTCCATCTCTAAGTCCTGAAGGATGGAGTAGCTTGGCACAGATGTCTGTGGATCTCAGGCTTAAAAGCCCTCTAGTATCAACTCAACATCAAAATTCAGTCCCCAAGTCTGGACTGCAGCCCTAATTGATCAGTGCTGGGACCTAAGCTCAATAAACTCTCCCTGTCTGACTGAGATTGGTGTTCTTGTAGTTTGTGAGGCGACTTCTTGGTTTTGATGACCACAGCCAGCTCTGTCAAACACAGAAGAAAACACTCTTAGGTAACAGCATAATGGTAAACCAAATCAAACCCAAAGATGGGTGTGTGTCTCCACCTTCCCAGCAGCGGCTTCCTGTTCTCCAACTCTCCACCTCTGTTCTGAAAGAATTTCTGACTGTACCAGGCACTGGGAAGGTGGAGACAGGCAGATCCCTGGGACTTGGTAGCCTATGTGGCAACCCAATGAGAGACCTTGACTCAGAAACTAAGGTGGACAGTACCTGAAACAGCACTAACCCAAAGCACCCTCATGATGGGAAAGTTCCAGGGCTCACGAGCATGCCCTAGGGGCTGGTGGGTAAGCACAGTTCCCCTACTCACTGTCTCTTTAAAATTAAAGCAGATTCTTTATGTCAAACCATTCACTCACCAACAAATCAGAAAGAAGCACAGCTCCGTGCCTCATTACCATCAAAATGGCAACACTTTTAGTCAGAAAGGCATAAGTGATCAGGACTGACCTCCAAGTAGGTCCTGGGAATGAGACCCTCAGCTCCTTCAGCATCCTTAGCCAGCCACCAACCATCAGGCTTTTTCTCAATTATATGGAGAATGTCCCCTTTCTTAAATGGAAACAATTAGAAATTAAACAAAAACTATAAATTTATGAACAATACTGCATTACAAATGCTTCAAAAGTATCTTTTTTACAAAGGTAAAATGATCTTATTCAGTCCCTATTAAAAGAAAAAGAATCCGTAGCACTCTACTACTGACTCTTTGTGACTACAAATGAACACGTCACATGACGCTTATGTGCTTATGTTCAAGTGAGACGCACCTCCTCACTTTGGGTGTGTTTTTTTTTAGTGTGTATGAATGCTTCATGTATGTTCACATGAATGCATTCTTCAGAACTGAAAAATAATCCTATGAGCTAAAATGCAAATGTATGTTTTATAATACACTTACATATTATTCATTTGTCATTTAATTTTGAAAATTGATAACTACAAGGACTAAGATTAGTATATTCTTTAAAATTTTCACCCATGTTGATGACAGAAAGTCACAAACTTTCTTAAGAATCACAAGTCTCAGGCCAGGCTGACTCAATGGGAAAGTGGTTGCCTAGCACTCATAAGGCCTGCAGTTTGCTCTCCAGCACTGAAGAAGAAATACCCTGAGGGTTTTTTATGTGTGTGTGTTGGGGGGGGTGTTTTGGAGGGGGGTGTTTTGTTTTGTTTTGTTTTGTTTGAGACTAGGTCTCACGATGTAACCTTGGCTGGCTTAGAACTCACTATGTAGATCAGGCTGGTTTTGAACTTACATCTGTCTGTCTCTGCCTCCTGAGTTCTGGGAGTAAAGGCATGAGTCCAGTGCCAGGGACTAAAGAAGTGTCTCTAACGACATGAAGCACTCCTGTTGCCACAAGCTGCAGACTCTGCTTAAGTGAAGTGATTTCATGCATATCACAATTATAAAATTTACCCTTATTAGGAATTATCAAAACTGCAGCTATTAAAAAAAATAATAAGAGAGCCTCCATTTAGAAGTCATGATTAGTTTCCTAAAGATGGATGAGTCTCAGGACTGTGTAACACAAGCACACACAGCCTTTCGTACTGTCAGCCGTGCAGTTACACTGGCTATCCTGCAGACTTACTCCACCTTACCTTAAACGTCAGGTCCCCAGCCTGCTGAGCAGCAAAGTCCCCGAGAGCAATGTATGTGACAGTTTCTGCTTGTTTCCAGGAGGCTTGTTCCTGCATTCCTTCCTCATCCCCTTCTGACTCTTCTTCCTCTCCACCAGTTTCTTCAGTTTCTTCATCTTCATCGTCCTCAGTCGTGTCATCTTCCTCCTTGTCACTATGTGCCTCAACTCTGTGAAAAACACTTCTATCAGGAGGACCACCTGGAGTCGCGTGGGGGGAGGGCAGTTCATGGTGGGGGTGGCAGTTCTATCAGGAGGATCTCCTGGTCGCATCCTGGCACAGTGAGTGACTGGAGAAAGCTTGTATGGACAAGAGCTGCAGTCAAGAGCTGCTCCGCTTTTGGAGCTGGAAGAAAGTGTGGCTGACAGTTTCTTCCCTCAGGCAGAGCTCCTGGGGTGGGAGGCACTCAGGGCAGAGGAGGCAGAGCTCAGAGACTGGATCCAAACCCTGGGGTGGTCCCTGCGCACACTGCTCAAGCATCTTATCATGTGTAGACTGCATGGGCACAGGTTTCAAGTCTGCCTCTGCCCATCCCTCCTTGAATAAACTTGGGTAGATTAGCTGGTCTGTGTGTTTGTAGTGCTGGAAATGGAACTGAAGGCAAATGTTCTATACTGAGCTATAACCCCAGTCCTTGGTCAAACTGGCCTTAGCCCCCCAAGTGTGGGGTTAGAGACATATGCCACCACACTCAGAAGAAAAGGAAAGAAATCATGACTTTGGTCTGCTGATCTGACCCACTGCTTAGCTGTTCTCGCTTCTGATGCTTTCTTTGTTCCCTTTCTTGGGTTTTCTTTGGTCCCTTTCTTTCTTCTTTAGCTTCTTAAGTCAGACGCTCTAATTGATTCTCAATCTTCTTTCCAAATTACTCATTCAAATCTACGTACTTTCCCCTAATCACCACTTTGGCTGTAACTCATGAGACATACTCATTTTTTATTCATAATATATTCTAACTGCCACTGCAATATTTTCTTTGACTCATGAGTTATATAAAAGTGTATGATTTAATTTGCAAACATTGGTGATTTCTATTTTTTATTATTGAATTTTAATGTAATTCCAAAATTTCAAACAATATACATGACACAGATTCAATTTTAAGAAACACAGTGGCAAGTATTTTGTGGCTTCTGTAGTTCATTTAGTTAACAACTGATGTCATAAGTGCACTGCCCTTGAAAAGTGGCACACTGTGTCCTTGTGCACAGAGATCTACACAAGCTACACCAATGCTCTTAGTCAAGGTTGCTGAGTACCGTGGATTCATTTACTGGCCCACAGGAGTGGCAACTCTGGCTTTGTACATTTGAATCTGTTGTTGGGATTATATTTCCCCTAGTGAACTCACTCTTCTATAAATACAAACTGTTCTCCCTAATGTAGTAAACACTTCTGGCCTAGTTATCTACTTTGCCTGGTTAAAGTAACTGCCTTACTTGGCTTTTGTTAGCATTTGAATATATTTTTTTAGTCTTTTACTTTGAAATTATCTATAATTTGTGAAAAATATATAACTATTATAAGCAATATACATATTTGGGTCTATAAAAAAATACAAAACAAACAAACACAAACTCCAAGACAACCTGACAATCACTCTCTTTTAAGTGGAATGCTAGTCCACTTACCTTTAACATAACTGTCTCAGTGACAACATCACAGGCGTGTCACCTTTAGTTTCACTTCTGTCTCATGTGCTACTTTTGTTGTTTCTCTTCTCTTTCTTTTAGAAAATAGTTTACTGAGTAATTTTTAGCACTCCATCTTGTTGTTTGTATAGTTTTCTTAGTGTATGTATTTGTAATATAGTCTATTATAGTCTGACTTGAATTAATGTTTCATTATCAGCAAAAATAAAAGAATCTCAAGATAGTAGACTTGCTCTCCCCTCCTCTGTGCTGCGGCTGTGCTCTTATCACACGTAGCTAATTTGCTACTTTTGGTTTTCATCTCCAAATTTGGCTGCTTGCTAAAATTGAACGAGCATGTACAGTGCTTGTGTGGTCAGCTGTGGGAATTTGGAAGGCAGCAGAGACTCAATTATCAATGCTTGGCTCCCCCTCAGGCTCACCATGGCAACACTATTGCTCCCTTTAGTTCTCCTGCAGTAAACAGATGTCCTTGCAGCAGCCGGCTTAACATTATGCCTTCTGCATGTTTTGTGGGTTTGGTTGTTGCTGCTGGTGGTGGTGGTGGTGGTGGTATGTTTGCTGTTTAAATGTCTCCAAAATGGGTTACTAGAGTGCTATGAAGTGCTTCTAAACTGAGAAAGCTGTGTTTGCCTTACAAAGAGTACAGGAGCTAGGTAAGACTTTTCATGTGTAAATTATGGTTCTGTTGGCTTTGGGTTAATGTTAATGAATCAGTGTGTGTGTGTGTGTTATATGTCTTTAGACAGAAACACATACAAACAATATTGTGTATTACCCTGTTGTTGAAAACATTGTGATCAGAGGCTTAAAGAATTCTAAACTTGTATTTTCCCTAGGTATAATATAATTGCTTAGTAATCTCTAATTCAGTGTCCACAGCAACTTTATAAAACATAATTACTACAAATACTAAGACGACTACTGTGATTGAGAATTTTTATGTCAACTTGACACAAGCTAGAGTCATCTGGGAGGAGGAAACCTCAATTGAGAAAATGTCTCCGTAAGATTGGGCAGTCTGTGGGAGCATTTTCTTAATTAGTGATTGATGGGGGAAGACCCAGTCCATTGTATGTGGGTCACCCCTGGGCTGGTGGTACAGAGTTCTATAAAAAGGCAGGCTAAGCAAACTAAGGGGAGCAAGGTAGTAGGCAGTACCCCTCCATGGCTTCTGCATCAGTTCCTGCTTCTAGGTTCCTACCTGATTAGAGTTCCTGCCATGACTTCCTTGGGTGGACTGTGACTTAGGATATGTAAGACAAATAAACCCCCTTTCCTCCCCAAGCTGTTTTTGGTTATGGGTTTCATCAAAGCAATAGGATCAACTGTATATCATAAGTAACCCAAAAACACATTTTGTTTTACACAATCAAATATCTTTGAAAAGCATCTAAAATAGAAAAGCTTAGTTTTTCATATTTTCTTTTTGTCTTGTTTTGGCTGTTGTTTTTTTTTGTTTGTTTGTTTGTTTGAGACAGGGTCTCACTCTGTAGCTTTGGCTGTCCTAGACTCACTCTTGTAGACCAGGCTCACAGAGTTTGTCTGCCTTTGCCTCACTCCTGCTGGGCTTCAGGGAGTGGGCCACTGCACCCAGCTCCAATTTACTTCTAAACCAGCAGCTCTTCGCTCCTTGCAAACTGGATTTCTATATGGGGTAATTTCCTTTCAGTCTGAAAGGAAAAGCAAACTATACAGACAGGTCAACAACTTTGCTCAGCTTTTGTCTGTATGAAATTGCCTTTCTCTTCAGTGTCTGGAATTTGCTTCTTCTGTATGCAGACTTCTGGGTTGATGGATATTTTCAGTCTATTCAAGAGGTTGTCTTTTTTTTTTTTTTTTAAATCTTTCAGAATTTCTTTCTTGTATGCAATTCAAGTCAGCAGCATTTTTTTTTGTAGAGATTTATTTATTTTATGTATATAAGTACACTGCTACTCTCTTTAGACACACCAGAAGAGGGCATCTGATTCCATTACAGATGGTTGTGAGCCACCATGTGGTTGCTGGGAATTGAACTCAGGACCTCTGGAAGAGCAGTCAGTACTCTTAACTGCTGAGCCATCTCTCCAGCCCTAGAGTTGTCTTTTGACTGGCATTCTTTTACTAATGTGTCAACTATATTTCAAACTGTCACTTGTCTATACATGACAGCCCCCTTCCCTGGATGCTTTTAAGATTTTTTGTTTATCTTTGATTGTCAACACAATGTCTGTGTGTGTGTGTGTGTGTGCGCGCGTGTGCATGTGTTATGAACAGTAGACTATTGTCATCATCTCTCCCTCTTCCTCCTCCTCTCCTCCCCTCTCCATCTTTTCCTTATCCTTCTCTTTATTTTCTCTTCCTCTTCCTTTTCTCCTTCCCTTTCTCCTTTTAATGTGTAAGATTAAACTTTTGAACCAGGCCTTTGGGTCATAAATTCCTTCCTCCAGTGTGATGTGTGCTATGAATCCACTCAGTGTTTACATTTTCATCTACTGTATCCTAGACTTTTGCTTTGTCCCTAGTTTTTGTTTCCCACTTAACATAACCATAATCTCACCCAATATGTACATTTTTGTCTATAATTTGCCAGCATATTTTAAATGATTGTTTTACAGATTTTTTTAAATCTTCGCATTTGGTCCATTTGAGTGTTTAGTCATTACTTCCCCTTTTGGTTATAAGACGTGCTCCTATCTTTCCAGAGCTCTAGGGTGCATCTGATTTGTGAAGTTCTCGTCTGTGACATCACCTTACCCAGCATGTGGCTCTGCTGCACAAGGCTCATCTGATCACACCTACACTAGAACGCTAGGAACCTTGCTATCTCTTTCCCTTTCTCCATTGTTTCTTCCATGTTGAAATTTCTTTTCTTTTTTAAAGATTTACTTATTTTTATTTTATATACATTGGTGTTTTGACTGCATGTATATCTGTGTGAGGGCATCAAATCATCTGGAACTGGAGTCACAGACAGGTATAAGCTGTCATGTGGTGCTAGGAATTGAACCCAAGTCCTCTGGGAGAGCAGCCAGTGTTCTTAACCACTGAGCCATTTCTCTAGTCCCTGAATTTTCTTTACTGTATTGCTCACATCATTTAGAAGTACTTGCCAGCTGGCCCCACTGTCTGGCTCAGACCGTGTGCTGCCTTTACTGACAGTACAATCCCTGCTTACAGACCCTGTGCTGCCTTTACTGACAGTACACTGCCTGC